GAGTGGCAGAGTAGTGTGACGGAAAGGAACTGTTGGAACTTTTTTCTTTAAAGTCTCATTGCATATTCTTTACAATTTTACAATCAGATGCTAAAGAACGAAAGTTAGCTATGCGACCCTGGAAGAGCCATGGAGGCACTCTAGAATACCAGAACATCGTGAAGGGCGGGGATCTGAAATTCGACTGCCCAGAATTAAATCCTAACTCGCAAATCTCTCAAGGGTGCCCTCGGTCAAGTCAGAAAGTATGAAACAGGAATGTTAATAAAACTAAACTCATAAAGTGATGTAATATATGTAGAATCCTTAGGACATTGCCTGATCAGAGTTGGTGTTCAATATGTGTTGTCTGTAATTCATGAATCTCTGGTGCTGAACCCACGCAGTGAGGATGGGATCAGGGTCCTGACTTAAGAGCAGTGAAGCGCTCCTTGGTAGATGAGGGTTAGAGTCTTCAAAGGATTCCCATTCTCCTGGAAATTACTCAAAAGAGAAGATGAATGAAAATCCTCATAGAATTAGATGAAATGTTACCAAATGCAAACCAAGGGTTACCAAGGATGTAGAAACCTGAGCTAGTTTGTTGATCGGATAGGAAGACTTTAGCAGGTAGACTAGAGCAGAAGAGGACAGAGAAACATCATCCAGGATATGGATTGGGAAAAACACAAGGGCAAAAGTGGCATTCATTGCGCACCTGTAATGCATCACATACATTGTTGAAGAAAGCCATAGGCTATCCTGTTTACGTCATACAACAAACTGTACGGTGGAGTCTTTCATTCATTTCACAAACATTTACTTGACTATCAGCTGCACAGACTCTGCGGTTGAAACATAATCCTTCTGATCCTTGGGTCAGAATCTCATGAGTAAAGGGGAGACAGACGAACGAGATGAGGTGGGAGAGGCCATCCAGGGCCAAGGAAAGAGGGTAGATTTCATTTCTGGGAATGGCCTCAGATTTTGTTGGAAGAGGAAAACATCCTATCACTACCGTGTAGAGAATTCCTTGAAGTG